TCGGGCGGGGCGCGGCCAACGAACGTGGCGAAGGATGGCCCGAGGGGGCAAGGATGCAAGGGTACCCTTGGGAAGCTTGCCCACCCTTACTATGCGGGCTGACGGTACGGTGAGAGCGAGGGCGTCGCCAGACCCATTCCTGTGAAGGGCCACGTCGAGATCATCACGCAGGGCCGGCATCTGCACTCCCGCCGATGGCTTCGACACCGAAGCTCCACAGAGAGCCTGGTGAGCCTACGTAGACGACACAAGAACAGAAGGAGGAAAAAACGGCACAAACATAAAATGTTGGCGCTCCGCGCGGATTTCTTGGATCTGCGCAGAACCCCCCCCCCCCCTGGCGCGGGGAGAGCGCCAGGGGCGCCGCAAGAGGCGCCGCCAGAAGCGCCGCCGGGGGGGGCCCAACGCGGATCCAAGAACTCCGCGCGGAGCGCCAAAAGTTTGTGTATGGCGTTGTTCTCTCGGCGGTGGAGAAACCTCCCTTTAGTAAACCTCCCTTTAGTGAAAGCGACCTGGGACCGAAACCGACGGACCTGGACCCGCAAAAATGACGGCCGCGACGCCCTCCCGCGAACCGAAAACGGCCAATTTCTCAATCGACGTGTCGGGGCAGGGGGTCTGTCCGCCCCCGACTCTCTTCCTCGAACAGAGGGGAGGGATGGGGAGGAGGGCAAAGCAAGGGCTCCCAACTTCGCGCTTCGCGCTGCGCGAAGCGCGAAGTGCGAATAACTTCGCGCTCTCGCGCCACCCCCCCAAAGGGAGAAAAGGAGGACGAGGAGGAGGAGGAGAAGGAACGAGGACCGCGAAGCGCGAAGCGCGAATAACTTCGCGCCCTCGAGGGAGCCCTCGAACAGAGGGGAGGGATGGGGAGGAGGGCAAAGCTGGAGGAACGAGCAGCGACTCTCGGCGGTCGGCGCGGCCTTCCGGGGCCCGCGCTGGGCCCCCGTTGCGCTTGGCGCGCGGAGCACGCGACTCTAAGGGCTCCCAACTTCGCGCTTCGCGCTGCGCGAAGCGCGAATAACTTCGCGCTCTCGCGCCGCCCTCCCAGAAGGAGAATAGGAGGACGAGGAGGAGGGGGAGAAGGAACGAGGACCGCGAAGCGCGAAGCGCGAATAACTTCGCGCCCTCGAGGGAGCCCTTGGCGACACGGGTCGGCGCAGGAGGAGCCCCCCCGGGGGGGGGAAGGGGGCCCGCGCCGACCGCAGAGATCCGAGGGCTGCCCTTCTCCGACAGGGAGGCTCGGTGGCAGCTCCTGGGAGCCTCGCATGCCATCTCGGCGGCTCTTACGACGAGAAGCTGGTCGGCGCTGAATCGACGCTGATCGACACTACATCGGCGCTGCAGTCATCGGCCTGACCTAAGGAACGATAAATAAGAAACGAAGCCCCTGTTTTATCCCAAGGAATGACGCATAAGGAACGATAAATAGTAAATAGCGCATGAGTATAAATGACGCATGCAAACCTGAGGAACGACCGAGCCCCGTTTGAAAAGCAAGTGTTCCTTATTCAAGCCGCTCACTGTACCTCACCGACTCCCCGACGCGAATCGACGCGAAAGGCGGAGGTAAGAAGGCACACCAGGATCCCATGATGTGCTACCGAAGAAACGGAGGCTGGTCCGGTCCCTTCTCCGGCGGCAACTTCCAAACTGAGCCCATTCGGGATGGCCCTGGGGCCCGAAGACGGCATCCGCGAGGCCACAGTCGACGAAAGACCACGGAGCTGACAAACCAAAAAGAACCTTTGGAGGTCCTGGGAACGAGGGATGGCTCTTCGGGGACACAAAAAACGAAACAAACACACATCGGCTACACGCAAGAGGGACCCGTGGTGAGAGTGACCTTCGGTGCGCGGCTTTTTGTGGGCCGCGGGGGGGCCACACCTGGGCGCGCAAGCCGCTGCTCCTGCCTCGTTTTCGGCCATCTGGGGACCCATCCTGTGCCCGCACCAAAGGTCACTCCGGCGAAAGGTCACTCTTACGTCTCGTCGAACACACCGAGTTCGCTGCTCCCTGGACCCCTCCCGGGATGTGCTCTGGCAAGCTGTCGAAAGGCGAATCAACAGCCGTGGCGACGAGGCCCTCCAAGGGGCCCCAGAGAGGCAGACATGGCGAAGGGCACCTGACACCTCCGATAGGCGGCGACCTCCGCACCCTACCCCTGCCAACCATCGATCGGTGTGAGGCGGGGGCAGGGCTCGCATTTCGCCGCGTTCGCGACGAGCTTCGAGCCCTACTCCCGCCGCCCATCGAGCTACCCGAATCCTTGATCGTCGAGGGTGGGGTTCGGATTCCGCCGCCGACTCTTCCCGCCGCCAGTCGGCCTCCTCGCTCCGTTCATCGAGTGGCTGAAGCCCATGACCTGGGCCCGGCCGAGAGGGTGGCCTCCAGTCCCGGGCCTCGAGCCCCCAGCCCAAGCCCAGGACCTGGGTTCAGGGGCCAGAGTGCCATACCTTCACTTTCCAAGCCATAAACGGAAACTAAACTGAAACTTAAACTTACACCGAAACTTTCCCAAGCTTGAACTTAAACTCATGCCCTACTTTACCTTCCAAGTCATCGGTAGGCGAACAGGCAATGCCATACGCTTCAACTTTCCGAGGTCCGCCCGGACTCCTCGGATCGGCGCTGGAGTCCCCTGGCGGCGCCTCCGGCGACGCCCCTGGCGCGCCCAGCGCGCTAGAGGGGGCGGAAAGGGAGTCCAGCGCCGATCCAAGCAATCCGCGCGGACCTCCAGAGGTTCATGCTGACGACCTTGTGTGTGCCTTGACTTGCACGGACGCTTTTGCGGCAATACCCGTTGTTTTACAGGGCGGGTCGCCCGGCCACCTGCCGCAGAAACTCCGAGCGCCTGTGCATGTATCTGCGCGCTGGAACATTTACTGAGCATTCTCTTAGGGTGGAGGGCTCAGGGTGCAATCCATGCGGGCTTTTGCACCTCGAAAATCAATCCGTCTTGCGATTCACCTGTTGCAGATTCAAGCCTCGAGAATCCATCGAAGCGGCACTTCAGATTTCACCCTTTGCCCTCCACCCAAAGAGAATGCTCGGATTTATGCCGCTGCCACTGAACGGGGCAAGGACTCTCGCCTCTCCGACCAAAAACCGACAATGATCCCTGATGCGGCACTCTCAGATCACGCGCCGTGGACGTCCACACACAGCGAGGAAACCACAGGGGCGCAAAAGGGAGCACCTCGTGCCAAGCTGAAGTCTTACCTCATGCAAGATTGATACCCGTGGAAGAACAGCGTTGTGCAGGAATGTCAGGGTCCGCGCGCACATGGTGTACAAGACGTGCGCGGGCAAGGAAACATTACCAGCCTGGAACATATCCCTATCCCTATGCTGGGCACCTCCTCGTCACGATGCCAATATTAGGGACTATTTTTTGTTAATGGCGAATCCCTAAGATTGTCATCGCCTTTTGGCGTGTCAATCTTAGGGATAGGGATAGGGATACGTTCGAGGCTGGTAAAAACACGCCCCCCCCCCCCAAACGGCGAGGCGGCGTCCTCCTTCCGGGGCCGTGGGCCTTCGAAATCTGGGCGTTTCGATTTGTATGAAGGGGCCCCAGGACACACAAATAAGAAGATTCTCCATATTTTCCTATATATATATATATATATAGATTCAGGGTTTCTGTCTTCCCCCCCACTTCCCACATTTTCCCATGTTTCCATGGGAGTGGACGATTCATTGTGTCTGTGTGTGTCTTTCCCTCTTGATTTTGGCCGACGGGTTGGGCAGGGGGGGCGCTCTTGGGACTGGGCCAGTGCTCCGTCGACCTGCTTTTGCACGTCGCGCAGACAGCTCGGTGGGGAGGGAGAGGGAGGAGGAGGAGGAGGAGGAGGAGGAGGAATGTAATGGAATGGACCGATCGCGAAGCGATTAAAACGTCACCCAATCCGCCGCCGAGATCGGCTCGGCATAGATGAGGCTATTACTTCGGCATCTTGCCGTCGTATATATTACTAATGTACTCGATTCGCTTTGGTGTGGGGGAGGCCAAACAAACAGAGCCCAGACCTCTGAGCTGGGCACTCCCATAGTATCCACACTCCTTGCATAACCATAATTTGAGGTTCTTGTGATATAATAAGATATGACTGACATGTGTGAGACGGCCCCCAATGTGAATAGCTTGACCCTTCGGCAACCGAAGAAACTCCGAATTATGCTGCGGAATCAAATCGAGACACGGGGTGATCCTCCACTTGGTGAGAGCGTATTTTGCAGCGCTGCCACGACACGTGAGACAACTTCTCCCGTCATCCGAGAGCTGGTGCTGAGAAATAAAAACAGACACAGCCGCAGGAGAGGGGGGGGCAGGCGCACTTTTTTAACCATAGGGGACCGCTTTTCGGCAACCATGGCGTCGAGAGTAGATCTGAGGAGCCTCTTTCTAACCAGGATCGCCTTGTGTTCAACCTGAGCAATGTGCGCCCTGATAGGCGCCTGAACTCTGTTCTCTTTCGCCGCCAGGCCTGCTAATTCGTCGGCGGCCGTGTTCCCGAGAACCAACCAGAGCGGGTGAGGACCCGAGACCGCCTGAGCAGCAGACAGATACGACGGCACCTGGAGAACAACAATCTCAGAAAATTCCCTAGACACCGCAAGCTGACCTAGCTCGTGCCAGAGGTCCTGAGTCTCCCCTTTATTGTCAAGGAAACGTCGACCGTATCAGCCTGCACTCACCGACTCGTTGTCAATCACAAAAATCGTGAAGCCTCTACTGTAACGTACTGCTAGAATTAATGCCATTAATTCGCCTCTGGGTACAGATTGCTTGGGGCCATGAAGGGGCCACGGATCGCGGTGCCAACTCGGAAAGGCTCAAAGCTAGAAACCGAAACGACACCTAGCCCTACCATGCGGAGGCGGGGGTCCCTGGAGTCCTCGCCTCCGCTCGCGTCCCCGAAGAGAAAATGTGGGCTCTCGTGGGAACCCGCCCCAAGAGTGGTGGGGCCCAACCCATTGAAACCACTGGCGGCCCACTGAGGCTCAAGAGGAGGAGGGGGCACTTTGGTCCAACTCCCTGGGATAATCCCCCTGAGCCAAAAACAAGCGTGAGACTCGTGTTGGGCCACCGCCTCTGTGGTCAGATTGTCTGACTGTTCATATGCACGAGACCCGACATTGCAACGGCATAGCCACAATCTGTGCAGAGGGGTCTCGGCAGCCTCTCCGCATCTCGGGCAGGTCGCTGTGTCGAGGCCTCCAACCTCGTCCATGATGCGCTGCCGAGACCATGTGCCTCCTGCAGCTACGCACAACATCGTCTCTGCCAGCTGGTGGCCCTTCCTGGCACCCTCCAGCAGCTTCAGAAAGTGACGGAAAGACATGTTGTCGGCCCCCTCCTGCAGGCCCTCGCCGCAGAAGTGGCTGGCTGCGCCAGCCCACTGGTGGGCACGAATGGTCTTGTCAAATTCGTCAACTAAGGATGACACGTCATCGCCTGGGCCGAGCTGGTCAAAGATGAAAGCCTCACGATCGTGCTCTCCTCCTGGCCTTCTGCCCCACTCTGACGGTGAAACTGGGTCCCATCTGTACTGTAGCAAGTAGGCCACCAGCGCAGACAAAGGTCCCCTGACATGACGGGAGCGCATCTGTACAGGTAGCGCTGTGAGCTTGGACACCACCACTGGCCAGGCTCGAGCGATGCCCGCTCTCAACCTGGCCTCCGACTGCCAGGTCGCCAGCCAGAGCTTGACTGTGTCGACAGGCAGCCTGTAGCCTGGGTCCATGTCGGGGCATCGTAAGTCGAGCACAGTGGTGAGGCAGCGTCCACGTCGAGAGGAGCTCGCCGCGTGCCCTAACTTCCTTCTCATACTCAACATGCTGCTCCCGAAGACGCCCAACACCTCGTGGCCGTAGTGGCCAGCTGGTTGCGCCCCGCACTGTTCGAGGCGAACTGCAGGACGGTACCTCTTCGAGGCTCGTGCAAACCGAACTATCTTGGAGGACATGGCGCCAGCCTTGACCACCCGTTTCCTTGCGGTGGCCCTGGCCTGGCGCCCCGCCCCCGTGTCGATGCCTAGGTAGGCCGTCTGCAGGACGGGGATGACCTCGACGCCCTTGGCCTTCAACTTGGCCGAGATGAACTTAGCGTCCTGAAACTCTGAACACAAAATCACACTCTTCGCTGCAATCTTCAAGCCGTCGGCGTCGAGCAACTGAGAAGTCTGATGCAACACTCTGACCATGACCTTACGAATAACTTGTCGTGATCCTGCCATAAACTGCGACAGGTCATCTATCCACAACCGCATGTCGACCAGTGGGTGCCTCTGGGACATCTGATCGAGCACGAAATATGTCATGCATCTCGCGAACCTCGTCCCGCTGCGCAATCCCTGGATCACGCTCCTCGTCGGTTGGAAGGGCTCCGAGAAACAGTCGCGCGCCGCAAGGGTGCGCGCTGACAGGCATAGTTGTAGTTCTAAATACAGCATCTGGGGGGGGAAACCCCAACTCCAGAGCGTTGGTGGCCAGTCTGATCCAACATATGCTGTCGTAGAAACTCTGGATATCGACCAAACCATTGGAGAAATCGATGCCGAGCAGGCTGTGCACCTCATCGCTAAGGGCTCTGGCGAACCCTTCGCGAAGTGCCGCATTGCGGAGGAGGAGGAGGAGGAGGACTGACCAGTCGCCGCCAACCAGGGACTGGTCTAGGGGGAGGGGGGGACAGGAGAGCCCAGGATCGAATCGATGAGTCGGACCAGCACTCGAAATCGATCGGATCGGCGGGGGTCGGCAGCCGAGCCGGGAGAAGTCGGATCGGCGGTGAGCGGCAGGCTATTCCGCCTCCATCGAAGAAGCGAGAAGCGGTGCCCCCATCGGAGGCCAGAGCCCAACCGAATCGGAATCGGAAGCCATCGACGTCGAACCGAATCGCATCGGAGGAACCGAAACGAGCCCTGGAGGGGGGGAGGGGGGGGGCCAGGGGCCCGCGCCGATCAGCTAGACAACGAAACAAAAAAAACACGGCGACTTTGATCGGGCCGAACGAAAATCAGGGGGACGTAAGACCTGGGTACAGGGGACTCGGAAATCCCCGACGAGGTCGTCAAAAAAATGACGAGGCCGAGCCTGCATTTTGACGAGGCCTCCAGCCGCAGACATCCCACGAAACTCCTCCTCGTCAAAATACGAGGCGCGGTCGTCAAAAAACGATGGCGAACCCGAGTCCTGGCAAACCCGGGTCTTACGCTCCCCCGAGAAAAGGGGGGGATGGGAAAGGGGGGGGATACGAAATCTGCTGCATGCAGCTGGTTGTGGCCCCGCCGCCGGGCCCATTCCTCGATACATGGGCGCCTCCCGGCGCCGGGAGGCGCTGGGAGAATCAGCCACGCGAGC